AAACCGTCTTATGAATTGCACTTTACCTAGAAAGCCTCGCACCTCCTTTTCAGTCCTTGGTGGTGGCATTTCCAAGATGGCCTTGATTTTGGAAGGGTCGACTTCGATGCCGCTTTGTGTAATCAGGAACCCCAGCATTTTTCCCGTCGTGACACCGAATGTACACTTCTGAGGATTTAGCCGCAGCCGAAATTCTCTGATCCTTTGGAAGAACTTTTGCAAGGCGGTGCAGTGGCCTTCTCTTTCTTTGGACTTGACAATCATGTCGTCCACGTACACCCCAACCTCTTTGTGGATCATATCATGCAGTATCGTGGTTGCAGCCCGTTGATATGTGGCTCCAGAATTCTTCAACCCAAACGGCATCACTTTGTAACAGTATGTCCCCCACGGGGTGGTGAAAGCAGTCTTCTCCCAGTCTTCGGGTGCCATCACTATCTGATTGTAGCCTGAGAAACCATCCATAAACGAAAGCAAAGCATGCCCCGCTGTAAAATCTACCAACTCATCAATATGCGGCAGGGGAAAGTCGTCCTTCGGACTAGCTCTATTCAAATCTCTGAAATCCACGCATACTCGGATCTTGCCGTCCTTCTTTGGCACTGGAACAATGTTGGCCAACCAAGTCGGGTATTCGGATACCAACAGGAAGCCTGCATCAATTTGCTTGGTGACCTCTTCCTTGATCTTAATGGCCCAATCTGGGCGGATCCTTCTGAGTTTCTGTTTGATGGGTCGGCCCTCGGGGTCGATTCCAGGCATGTCTTCGTAGGACCACGCGAAAATGTCTTTGAAATCTTTTAATAAAGCGACTAAGCGCTCACGTTCCTCTGAAGACAACGTGGACCCGATCTGGACCAGCTGCAGGTCCTTCACAGTGCCAACATTCACAGTAGTGATTTCATCCATTAAGGGTTTAACAAATCTTTCCTGCTCTTGATCAATTAATCGTTGCAAAACTGGAGGAATTTCTTCCTCGTCATTTTCATCAAAATTTTGAAAATCCTGATTTAAGCAATAAATCAAAGGCACAGAAAAATACTCAAAAACCACATCCACATCATTCTCATTAAATACTTCCAAGCCGTCCGATTCTTCTGTTACAACAGACTCAAAAGAGAAAGAAAATGACGACCTAGACAGGACTGTGGCATTCGGGTTACCACCCCCAGGAATACGGGACTCAGACTCAGTTGAGCTGGAACCTGATTCCGACTCACAAGATTCGGTGGAATCAGATTCCGGCTCACTACCTGACCCGGTGCTGCTAGACAAAAATCCTTCTTCATATTGCCAGACGAGAGAGGGTGCGATGGATGCATCCAAAATGGTTGATGGTAGGTCCGCAGCCGTTTCATTTCTGATCATGCATACCGAGGAGTTATCCCCCAAGCACCTCTATTCGATCGGAGGATCTGAAAGTAGACATGCCAATGCTACCCCTATTTCGTTTTCAGCGTCCTCAGACTACACTTCCTCACTTTGTTCAGCCTCGGCTAATGAGTCTGTCTGCCCTTCGGCGATGTCATTCTCAGGTAGCTGTAGGTCAAAGAAAATCTCAAACCCCGGTACGCGCTTCCTCTCCGCGTTCAGCCACGGCTCTGGGAAACCACAGAATGGAAAGTCCTCCCCCTCCCGGACGAAGCGTCCGTTTAGGGTACCCTGAATGGGCCGATGCATTAAGTCAAAGGGCTTCCCTATCTGTTTTCTTCTGGCTCTTCTGGCCATCTCCTTTCCTTTCCTTATCTAGTCCTCTTTGGTGGGTAGGTAACCCAATTCAAAGGTATGAGGGTTGTGTGGCACTTCGGCCAATGCCGCGACGCCTTTTCGGCCGCTCTTTCCCAATCCCATCCCGGGGATGTGCTGGAGTTTGTTCATGAGATAGACTGCTTGGGCACTGACATATACCCCTTCGTTAGCTGCCATGATGAGCCTCAGCCAAGGTAAAACCCGATATGAACACATCTTCCATACCGTGCTCGATTTCTAGAACAGGCGTAGACACCTCTGGTGGCGGATGAATTGATGAGTTTTCGAAAACAATGGCTACTCCCTTCTCATAGGGGTATTTCACCACTTGATGTAGGGTAGAGGAGACCGCCTTTACCTGATGCAGCCACGGCCGCCCCAAAAGCAGGTTGAACGTTGCGGGAACCTCCAAGATATGGAAATCTATCTCGTGCTGTCCCGGCCAAACTTTTGTTTGAATCTTAGCTGTCCCCATTACTTCTCGGCTTGTGTTGTTGTATGCCCGAATCACTTGGGCCGTTGGCACAAAATCCGCGACTTTTAAACCGATCGCGTAGGCTGTCCTTGCCGGGCAAACGTTGATGGCGAACCCTGTGTCGACAAGCACCACGGGTATCCATTTATCCCTGCACTCCACGGAGATGTAGAGTGGCTTGTTATGGTTCGCACCCTCAGGCGGCAGTTCTTTATCAGAAAAAGTCAACATCAGGGTGGCCCCTCCCGAAAAAACTAGGCCCACCAGCTGTTCGGGTGTGGTGTCTATGGAAAGCTTGGCTTTGTCCATGGCTGAGAGGACAGCCTGTCTATGTACTCGAGAAGCCATAAGCAGCCCCCAAATGGAGATGTCTGCATGTATCTTCTTCAATTGTCTCAATACGGCCTCGTCCTCGAGTTGTTTTTCCTTTTGCTTTTCTGCCTCCCTATCTTTTCCAGATGCCTCTGGTTGATCCAGATGTGGAGGCTTGAAATACCGTCCACTCCTGGTCATGTGATCAACTTCGCCGATATACCAGGTGTCATCTGGTTGGTTACTCCCACATTCTTCGTCCGTGTGGGCAAGACATAGATCATCGTCTTCCCACCACATTCCATCTGCAGCCGACAGGCACCTGTCCGGTTCTGGCATGACTGTTCTCATACTCGCAGTACCTTCTATCCCTATGCTCGCAGCATTTTCGCTTTCCGTACTCATAGTAGTCTCAATCCCCACATGGGCTTTTGCTTTCCTGATTCTCTCGGAATCTTCGAATCTTCCCTGTTCTGACTGTGTCAATGCAGTAGTTTGTTCAATAATCCCTGTACTCAAAATGCTCCATTCCCGACCGAAACTCTCGACACCGGCGCTCCCCGGCGATGTACTCTGTTCTTCGACGTTCCCGGCTGTTACTGACATTCCTGCCCCTGCCGGGCCTTGTTCACTGAAACTCCCCTACCAAATCTGGCTGATCATCCAACCATCCCGTGGCCTCCGCCGATTCCTCATAATCGAACCAGTTGACGACTGAGTCTTCTGGATCTTGGTTACTGTAAAACTGGAACTTGGCAAGATCCTCTTCCACGGCTGTCAAATCATCCGTTCCCTGTACTGGACTGTCCCCTTGGATTGCACACAGCTCTCCCCCTGCTGGAAACTTCACATTTGGTCTATTCTGGCCTATCAGTGAAACGTAGTCACTCAGACTGTAAGCATTCCCAACATCACTCCCAGACTCCGCAGACTCTGGCTCGACAACCCCCTTCTCCTTTGGAGTCTTCTCTCTCCTGCTCTCAATGGTCACCACTGCTGGCTTGGGTTGGGTTATGGAGACGTCCGTCATGCACAAATCAGTGCAATCAGGAAGGAAAACTTCCAGCTTAGGTAGGTAGGAAGGTGTGATATAGATACTAGGATCGTAGGACACGACCCCAGTATGGATGAAATTGATTCTTTTGGGTTGTGGAGCTTGGTTATGTCTGGGGAGAGGATTTGTAGTAACATTGGGTTTCTCAGGAGGTAAAATCACCCCATTATCAATGAGATCTTGAATCTCATGACGCAATCGAAAGCATAGGTCGGTGTCGTGACCGTGCTGTTGGTGAAATGCACAATACTTGGCCGGATTGTGGGCAGCGGGGAGTCTTTCCGGTAAGGGCCGCGGCTCTAGGGGCTTCAGATGCCCTTTTCTGATCAAAACCCCCAAAGCTTTGGACAGGGGCATATAAAGCGGAGCGAAGGTTCTGGTATTTTTGGGAAGGTATTTGGTTATTTGTGGGCTGCTTCCGGATGCACCGGAGAATGGTGCGGCTGCCGTATTTCTTGGGGGAGGGTTGGTGGTGACCATGCTCACTTCGGAGGTCCTGGTAGTTGTAGCGCCACTCGGGCTTTACGATTGAAAGTTATGCAGGGCTGCTCTCGGTCATTATCAATCAATCCTTGTTTTAAGGCATCCTCAATTTGCACCCCCATTTCATGTAGATCAGAAAAGGTAGGGAAGGGGAGTACAATCATCTTTTGCATTAACTTTGGCTGAAGATTGCGCAGAATCATCCGAATCTTGTCTTTGTCTGTGGGCCTTAAGGTCATCGTCGAAGCCTTAGCCCGCCATCTGGTTACAAATTCTGAGAAGCTCTCCTTGGGTTCTTGCCTCGTTGTCTCGAGATCCCGGGTTGTGATCTCGATTTGTGTATTGTATGAGTACTGTAAGATGAAGGCCTCAGCCATCTCGTCCCAACTCCTCTTGACGTCATCTTCCAATTTGGCATACCATATGGCCGCTACACCCGATAGGGTTTGGCCAAATAAAGACAGCTTCTGTAGTCTAGTGAGGCCCATCGGCCTTAGGATGTCTGAAAACAATCTTAGGTGCACCATGGGGTCTCCAGACCCATCAAATCGATCAACGTGTGGCATCTTGAATCTGTCGGGCAGCGTCACGGCTGCATCGGTATACCCATCTTCGATGTCAGGGATGGTCTTGACTCCCTGGGATCTTTTGAACATCTTTTCCAATTTACTCAATTTTAACGCTGTGGGGTCCATTTCAAACTCAAAAGGAGAGTCCGATATATTGACAGGTGTGGGTGCCTTGGATAGTTGTGGCGGAATCGGGGGCGGAGCTGGCCCCGTTGGAGGGTCTGTATCCTCTTGGACATTCCTGGCATTCGGTGTTTCTTCGGGTATCGGAACCCTTGGCGGGGGAGGAACTTGTTGCGAAGCAGATGCTCCGGATGGTTGTAATGAATTGGGTCCAGTTTGAATGGGTTTCTGGTTTTATGCAGTTTTACCAAAATAGTTAGGTTTTATATACTGCATGGGTTTGGTGGTTTGTGGGGGCCGGAAATAGGACTGGTCAGCAGGTCAACCGAATGAACCGGCTGATCAGGTCCGCTTTTCAGAACATTGATGTCAGTGTCTATCATAACTTCTCAAAGTGCTTCACATCTATCCCACTCACCAGCCACTGTCCACAAAGTCATATGTATTTTTTCCATAGAACATATAAAGCAACCTGGCATGCCCAATAGGCATCCACTGCAGCTTGTTGTCATGTTTGCCATTAGTTCGAAATTTGGAATCCACACTTAAATGCTGGCACGACAGTATGCATGGCTTGCATTTGATATGGTAATAAATACACGTCTTGCCTCTCCCTCTGTCGCGAAATACCATTCCTTTCATTCATTGTTGGAATAGAATTTACTTGCACCAATGGGATTCTGTGCAGAGTTTGTTTTTGATAATTTGCAATCTTATATAACGTTTGATGGCTTGAAGATTTAATTTTTAAAATTGTACTTGTTGATGCACTTATTGGTTGTGTACCTTAGGCATACTGCATCCCAAGATGTACGAGCACAGCTTTCTGTTAGCCAGGGTGATTCACATCCTACACGTTATGGTGAAGAAACCGCCACTAAACAGGTGACATTTAGTGACACTATTAGCAGCACTGAAATGGATGAGCTTGATGCTGAGGGACAACAAAATGAGAGAGACCCTTCTAACTGGGGTTCCAAAAACTCTCCTTTTTCAACCTCGCTTGATGATCCCACCTCCTCATATTCTCCTTATTTAGCACCAGTTCTTGAAGGACCTTCTTCATCTTTCTCTGAAGGTGATAATATTTAGTTCTTTTTCAGCTTATTGTTGATTAGTTTGAAGCAGTGGGTATTGGTTGTCACACACTAAATTAACCGCAATATCCAGCTGGAGATGACGATCCACTACCTGCTATAGAGGGCCTTCAAATTTCAGGTGATGCTTGTCCTGGACATGATCTCCAAGCAAGTGGATTCTCTATTAACGGAACAACCAGTTGTAATTTTGAGGTGCTTCTAATTTCCTTCTTTATTATTACTAATGATCTTACTTTTGGTTATTAATCTTACTTAGATGTGCCTCAAATTGCATACTACTATGCAATTTCTGTTAGAGTTTCAGTATAACTCAATGCTAATTTTCACTGTCTTCTGCACCTGCAGTGGGTTCGCCATCTGGAAGATGGATCTTTTAACTATATAGAGGGTATTCTTCCTTACTTTCATATCTTGTTTAAGTGGTTTCATTATTTGTGTTTTTAAATATTTAGATATGAAGTTTTTGTTAACAGGGGCAAAGCAACCTAACTACCTTGTTACTGCTGATGATGTTGATACATATCTTGCTATTGAAGTCCAGCCTCTGGATGACAGGAAACGCAAGGTATTCTCTGCTTTATTAAAGAAGTGGAATAGCCAATCCTTGGTAATGTATGGTAATAGGTACTAAGTATACGCTAGCATGCGGCATCTTATGTATGTGCACGTGTTCTGTGATGTGTGTTTTTTTTTCTTTCTGTTTTTTGCTTTTGGGGTTCCCAAAAGTTTAAGGTGTGCTCAAACACCAAATGCTGAATTGGCTATAGAATTAATATATATATTTTTTTCACCATGCATAGCTTGGAGTCTTTGGTAATGCTGGTTGATGCCTAATAAATGTATTTCTTTCTTCGTGTTCCCTTTTATCAGTCTTGTCAAACGGTGTGGCAGAAACAGAGTTGATCTATTTTCATCTACTAGTACCATATGCAACCAATGGTGATGTGCATATTTAATGTTAAAATACCTTAATCATGACCTCCCATTCTGTTAGCACTTCCTACCCTTCAGTTTCTTCACTATTTCATGCCCATGAATTGCCCCTGCTTTTCTTTCTGAAAAAGGTCAATAAAGGCAGATGTAACTTAAGCTATCATCTTGACGATGTGAAAATTTGTGACATGCAGCATTGCAACAGTCCAGATTTGCTTTTGCTTTTTATTTTTTTCATGACTTTACATAAAATTCACTCACTCCTCACTGCCGACTCGCTTTCACTGAATCGATATTGAGCCTTCATTTGTGTAAATGCTTGGAAGAAGCGAATTAGTGAATGGAAAATTGATCTTATTATCTTACTTTCAAAGTTAAGGCTTCCCTCCTGTGGGTGGGCAAGGATCTGGTTTTACGCAGATTCATGTGACTTTAGGGAGTGACAGTTCAGAATGCTTCGTGTTCCTTTACAAAATAATAATTGTGATTCACTTCTTAAGCATACTTGCAAGTCATCATTATCTGTTTTGCAAAATAAGGAAGCAATTTTCTTAGTGTGGCCGGCGGCGTTGGACCAGATTTTGACGATTGATAATCTTATCTGCCACCGCCATATCTTGGTGAATTGGTGTTGTATGTGCCGGGGCAGTGTGGAATCAGTTTCTCACCTTCTCATTTATTGCTCTGTAGCTTATCAGCTGTGGGGGTTGATTTTTGCAGTCTTTGGCTTGGAGTGGGTGCAACCTAGGGACGTTGTGGGTGTCCTTTGGAGTTGGAGGGGGGCTAGGGTGGGGAAGCATCATTGGAAGGCCTGGGACCTTGCGCCCTTGTGTTTGATGTGGCCTATTTGGTTGGAACGCAATAGGCAGATTTTTCAGGGTTGGATGAGCCGGTGTCTTGTTCGAAACAAAGCTTGCTGGGCGTTTTGTATAGTATAGTGTCGGGGCAAGTGGAGTTGCATTTATGCTCTTTTTTTGGATTTTTTGGATTCTCTTCATGGTGGTGCTTGGCTGTTTATAGCTTTTATTTGTATTTGTTTTGCATCGGCTTGATGCTCTTTTAAATAATATTGCTTTATAAATTAAAACAAATAAAATAAGGAAGCCGTTCTTGTTCAGTATTTTCTTTTGTTCATTCTAATAATCTTTATGTATTAGTGATAGGAAAAGTTGAATTAGGGAACTTTATTTTCGGTTTACAACTATCAAATAGCACTTTTTATGTATATGTTTGCTTTATATTTTGCTCAATCTTTATTTTATGAAGCAAAATCAGCGATAGTATTTGTGGATGGATTACAATTTATTTGCATATAAATGATAGTATTTGTATATATCAGATATCTCCGTGCATTACATGTGGAACGTGTGTTGAATGATTTGTTATGAAAGCAAGCATGGTTTATAACTAAAAAATTTGATACTGTCAAGCGCCATGTCTTCCACCTTTGCTAGCTGAAGTTTTGAGAAATACACTTTTTATTTTTATTTTTTATAATCTATGTCAAGAAAGCTCCTGAAGTTGTCATTTGTTTTGTTCTGTCCATGGCTTTAAATAGCAGTGTCGGGAGGTCACAATGTAATGGTATCAGGAATTTTGAGTGATACAAATCGGGTAGTTCATATGTGATTTTTTATCCCTACGGTAAAATGGGGTGTATCTGAACTGGAAGGTTTAAAATTCGATATGAACTTGCCAATTTTTTGAACCATGGCCTTGTCCCAAGTAGCATACATACCGACATCCGACATGACACGAACAAGATACGGACACATTGACATGGTGATTTTCAAAGAATGCAGATACAACACATTTGAGACATGTTAAATTTAATGTTTTTACAAATCTGTTATATATCATAAATGTAAATAATTTATTCAAAGATAATAAAAAAATGTAACATACCTTTTTACATTAAAAAGCTATATATTTCATAAATTAAACATCAAGGTGTTATTTACATAGCAATTACATCCTAAACAAAAACAATAATATAAAATTGTATTGCACATGATGTTCTTTTAATATATTTAGGATACATAAGTCGTGTTATAAAGAATGGAGAACATTGTTATAATGGAGGGATTCATAATATAGGATATATTTGGAGGATTCAAGAAGTGTCACCGAAGTGTCGCTAATGTGTCTGATGTTATGAATTTGATTTTAATCCAAACACATTGAAGAAGTATTGGGCATGCTTTTAGGAGTGAGTGTCCAAAGAGTGCCATGTCGGACACAGGTGTTTGACATGACACATTTCCTCTGTAGAAGTGTCCGTACTTCTTAGGTCATAATGTTCATAGAAATGTTTTGCTACATGGTTAATTTGGGAGGAAAAAAAAATTACATTTTATTGGATGCCTAATAGTTAAATGAAAATTGCTCTAAAATTTCTTAAATTTTCTTAGTGTAAACTATACGAATCTACCTTATTGTTTCACATTTTAAAGCAAGTTGTTTACCACATTCCTGATCCCGTTCCACATACCGGAATGATCCACATTCTAGGTAACATAGAGCAACGGTTATATGCTTAGTTAAATTTAATAAATTCATACACTTTTTTAGTACACCCCATGATAGTTTAGGTGTTCGTTGTGCATACATTGTAGAAGTTTTTATGAATGGTCCACAGAATCAAAATTTTTGTTTTCTGTTTACATGTGCCACAGCAGAAGTCGTCTTGTCACTGGATTAATTATGCAGCATTAGTGATACATTTTAACCTCATGTCATCTATTGTGCAGTGTTGGAGCAGTGGATTTTGCTGCACCTATCCACTTATATTTCGTTCACATGTTCTTCCCTAGTCAAGGCATTTGTTCTATTTTGGATTTTGTTTCCCTCTCTTGTAAAATGCTGATTCTGTAGTACATGAATTCCATCTACTCTTCATGAAATTTCAATTGAAAAAGGTGTTTTTAATTTTTTAATGTACAGTTTTTTTCTTGCTTTTGAAAGTGAAAAATACACCATACCAATGGAAGAATGTTGATTTTGATTTGGAATTAAATTCTTTATTATAAGAGATCAACAAAATTGACATGTTTCGATACTCCCGGGCTCTCTTTCCGACCCTCATTTGGTTGGAAGTGTTCTTGATAAGTCCAAAGAATATATCCTCTGGTGATTTATAATTCCAGACTGGTAAAATTAGATCGGACATTGTGAAGTCTTTTGGTAGGTAAAGCATGATTTGAAACATAGCCAGTTATTCTATACATAAAAGGTTGAGATTACTTTGATACTTACTCCAAAATGGTGGAATCTGTTTGGACATCTAGAGGGTAGAATAAAGATTCAAGAGGGTTCGGAAGGACCTCTTGTTCAATTTTATGCATTAGAACTTTCGATTTCAAACCGTTGTCTTTTGTTTTCATTTTCATTTTTTCTGGAAACCGAAAATGAAAACTTATTTGATATATTGTTTTTGTTTTTTAAAAAGTGAAATTGATTTCAAATTTAAATTTTTTTTGGAAATGTTAAAAGGAGAAGAAGATATTCTCACTTTCTTTCTCTTCTCCCTCTTCCACCACCTCCGGTCACTGTCTACTGCTAGTTACCCTCCAGCGAGCGAGCTCCAGCCTCTGATGAAGTTATAATGTCACTATTTTGTTCATCTACCGTTAGTGAGGTTGACAAAAATTTGAAGTAAAGGGATTAAAATGAAATTTTTGTGAAAGTATAAGGATCAAAGTGAGATTTTGATGACAAGTGTAGTGGTGCTAGTGAGGCGGAAAAAGAAAAAGTCATTTTAGTACATTGCCAAGTTTTGTTAGCCTTATTAACGATCAATGAGCTGAAAAATGGCATAGTAACTTTACTTAAATTGTAGGTTTGACTGGCATAATTAGCCGTCAAAAAGAAAAGTGGTAGTTGGCTAAAAACGACTTTGACATTATTGGAACGACATTATCAAAAATTAACAAAATGATATTATAGTAAATTGAAAAATGATTTGACCATTAGAGGCATTTTTTTGTCAAAAGTGAAGTTTTTTACAATCATAAGTGCAAATCGATAAACCAATGTGAGGTTTGCAGTTAAATATCTTTAATTTAATTTTATCATAAAGTGGCCAAAGTTCTAATGTTGGGTTTGGTTTAAAAAATTGGTAAGGAATTTGTAGAGAACGAATTAGGAAGGAGGAAAAAAATAAAATAGAAGTTAAATTTTTGTCACATTTTCTTTTCTCCTCTCAAATTCCTTCTTAAATTCTAAATCTAAATACAATCTTATCTTAAGAGCTCGTTTGACAATCATATGTTTTAGTCAAAAAGTTAAAAAGTCACTATAAGTTGTCACACTACTCTCTATTTTTTCACACCACTCTCTATTTTTCTGCACATCTTTTTGTAAAAAATTAAAAAATTACTAAAATAACTTATTTCTAAACAAGGCCTAACTGTTTTTGCCCAATTACTTTCAAATAGCCACAAGCCTGATAGAACCCTAGACAAAGTTAGCGATTTTGGTTCTCATGATTCTAGCATCTAAAACAAATTAGAATAAGAAAGTGATCCTTGATTATTTATTTCAATAGGAATCATATTCACAAATTAAGTAAGAATTTGATTCCCCACTTTCATATGGGAATCTCATATTTGGGAGAATGTTAACCATTTAAGAATAAAAAATGATAATGAAACTCATAATATTTAAAACTTCATCTTTTTTTCATAGAAGATTCCTAGCAAAACCAAATGCATGGATAATATTGATACATACTTTATTACTAATAATGAGATTCTTATTAGTTTTCAAAATTCTTGTCATTCAAACATAACCTCATATTTAACAATTATAAATAAACAAACCTAGAATCTAGATTTTAGGAGTCCAAGTACAATATGTAATTAGTTACCATATTTAAATAATTGGGGAGTATACATTAGCTAGTACTAGAGTTAAGTTTAGTAGTATGGTTAATTTGAATGGTAATCATTATATGGTAAGAAAAATGTTTGGGGGCCCTAATTCTGTGGCTCAAATGTGGCTCAAATGGCCAAAACGACGTCGTTTTGGCCATTTTAATGTTGTTTTGTACTTAAAACGACGTCGTTTTGACCATTTGAGCCACATTTGAGCCACAGAATTTGGGCCCTCTACCATTGCTCATATGGTAATTTGTAAATAAGCCAAATCTAATGATAAGTGGAGTCATAATTTTTATTTTTGTGTGATGAGAGATAAGTAGGGTCATATTGTGTAAAAAGTTAGATAAGTTTTAGTAGTAAGTTAGACCACCAAACAACTTAATTTATAGGGGAATTAATAGACCAAAAGTAATTAAGGGATGGAGGTGCAACATTAAATTGTAATTCCCCCATCTTTATACTCAGTTTGAGCCATTCCCCCCTCCCCCACCCAAAAAATCACATCTTTTTCTGATTTTTTTGTCTTTATTGATTTTTTTTTTTTTGAAAATTATGTCATTTTTTTTTAATTTTTCCGGTCCGTCTTGTCGAGACGAATTTAAAAAGTATATTTTTTTTGAAAACTTTCAGAAAAAAAAAAATCACTAAAGACTAAAATAAACAAAAAAGATTGTTTATTTTGGCTTATTTTTATCTTTTCTGGATTTTTTTGGATATTGTTTTAAAAATTATAATTTTCTGGCTCATCTTGTTCAGCTGAGTTTAGAAATCTAAAGCTCTTTCAAAATTTTTAAATAAAGTTCACCAAAAACAAAAATAAACCAAGAGTCAAAAAAAGAACTTCTCAAAAAGCCTTTACACTATTCAAATCTGAATGATTTTTAGGATATGCTATACAATTTTTTTTTTAACTATAAAAAATGAATAAATTACATTGACCTCTATTGAAATTTGAAAAAAAATATATAATAAGCACCACAGTTTTGATATAATTACACTGACATCTCTTTAATAAGGTTAAAGAGATCAAAGCTAATGTAAACGATATAAAAAACACAATGATACACAAAGTAAATTACCTTTCAATGTAAAATAGATAATAATATTATTTTTTCATTCATATGACTAATGAATTTTAGATGAAAATAGAATCAAGTGTTATATGAATTCAGACCTTAAGGAAACCTAATGTAATTATGCAAAACTTATGAGGCTTATTGTATATTCTCCAAACTTCAGGGGAGGTCAGCGTAATTTACCATTAAAAAATAGATAAATTAAAAATATACCAGAAATATATTTCAATTATCAATTTTATAAGTTTATTGTTGCATAGAAGAGTAGTTAGAATTTTTTTTTCTTCTGTTTATTTCGTTAAATAATTTTTTTTGACAAGTATTTGTAATTTTTATAACTATATGGGGTAATCTGTATTTGAAGCAAGCCTCAAAGCATGCATTTATAATTTACCCCTTTTTGTGGAGAAAATACACCCAAAAAAAAAAAAAAACCCTTAATGTTTGACCCTTGTAATAAAATAAATATTGAGTTTTTAATTTTGTCAATTTAAATCTTAATATTTTGATTTGTTTTTAATTTAAACCATTTGTTTATTTTTATTAGGTAAAACCGATGAAAATATTGATATTTTAATCATTAAACTCAATAAAAATGAGTATTTTAGACATTTTATGCACCTAAAAAATGATTTATCCTCCTAATTGAGGTCATCTAATTCCATTCACAATGTCGTGGCTAAGACCTATGTGAAGACATACACACACTTCTCTCCTTATCAAACTTTATTTTTTTTCATATACATCGTTGGGGGGGTGGAATTGGGAGCTCAATTAAGGAGATATGTAGTGGAACTATATTTACACATATATTGAATTTAATGATTAAAATATTATTTTTCTGTAAATTTTACTTGATGAAAATAGACTAATGGTTTAAATTAAAACAAATCAAAGATTATAATTTAAATTGATAAAATTAAAATTTTAGAATTTATTTTGTTATAAGGATTAAATCTTGAAATTTGCTTTGTAACTTTTTTTTACCATAAAAAAATTGGTAATTTCATATCAGTGGAGGTTGGGAATTTTTTATTTTATTTTTTTAGATTAGTGAAAAATGTTATAAATAATCATATGCTTTTTTATGAAGTTATAATTAACTTTTGTAGAGATCTCTGATAAATTTCCGTAAAAAAATTGAATTTTTTTGGGGGGTGTGATATGACTATATGCCTTGTTTGGGATGTACTAGAATAACATTTTTTTTTTATGTTATTTGGATCATATCACCCATCTACCATATTTCACATATTTTTTTAAGTCAAAACAATATATTTATTAAAGGGCGAATTACATTAACGGTTCCTGTAGTTTGTGGTTTGAGTTACTTTGGTCCTTGACCTTTATTTGATCTTAAATTTCGAATCTTGTTCCAAATAAGAATAATTGAAGATAGAAAAAATTATCCATAAATCCTATATGGAGGTAAGTTAAAGCATTTAGTCCTAAGAGTTTTGTTGTAGACCATTTAGTCCCATTTTTTTGGCAAGTTTTTTGAGTGTGACTTGATCCCATGTAAGTTTACATTAATACCCTTGGCAAGTTTGGTTTCCTAAATGTTTATTCTGTTTTGGGGTGGATAAGGAAATGTCAACCTATTCGGGGGGATTTTGAGTGATTTACATTGATCTAATTAGTTTCTAAGAGAAGATTTGTGGTGGGCATTCAGTTTGGTGTGGGTGATTTCTTCCGATGGTAACTGTTGTTCGTAACAGTGATCATTTCATCGTGCCATTTTACTGGTTTTTCCGGTTCTATATTACGTACAGTGCTTCTACGATTTGTGGTGTATAATTGCTGGGTTCGTACTGGTGTGGGTTTCGCCATTGTAATAGGTGAGTGGTTATTATTTGTTTGGTGTATTTTCACATTTGTATGTTTGTGTGTTCTCAATGGTGTTGATTTGTGGGTGGCCATGTTTGGGTTGTTATGTTTTTACTGGTTCATTTTTTGTTCTTGTTTGCTGAATTAATGTTTGGTGTATGGGTGGGTTGTGTTAGATTAACATCACAAGTGCCATGTGGTATGGAAGCTAATGGTATGTATTTTTATGGATTGTGTTGCCATTGTAATGAGTTCAGAAATGTCGGTGTCACATTTTTTGTTTTTTGTTTGCTGAATTTATGTGTGGGATGTGTAGGGTGTGTTGTGTTAGATTAACATCACAAATGCCATGTGGAATGAAAGTTAATGGTTTGTATTTTATGGATTGCCATTGTAATGGGTTTGGAAATGTCGGTGTAACAGGTATAGATGGTGGAATATTGTTGGTGTGTACTTACGGGCAGGACAATATTGTTGTTTGGTTGCATCACGTGGTGTTGTTTGCACAGATTGTTGATGATATTTGTGGAAAATTTGATGGGTTGGTACATGGGGCTATGTGTTTGTTGTTCGATGTTCCCGGGTATAAGAAGTTTAAGGTTGTTAGTGATGATGACATTTAGAACATGTTATGCCTTGGTAAATCGTGCGGACTAAATCACATTGAGGTACTCATTCAGACACGGAGTGTTGGAGTCAGTGGCAATCGTGGGGTGGTTGATTGTATGGAGGATGGTGGAAATGACCAAGATGGTATTCGGAATATTGGTGGGGACGATCAGAGGGATTTGTTACCAACGTATTGTCCTAATAGGGGTAAGACGTTTTTGTCTGCTCAATGGGCGTATGGCATTACCCACGTAGGACAATGTTTTGATGGCGGACCAAATGAGTTCTGTGAAGTTCTATGCAAGTATGCCGTGGAGCGTGGATTCCAATTCAAATACATTAAAAATGATTCCGTTCGCATTACAGTCGTGTGCAAGTTCGTAGAGGCCACAGGGTGTAAATGGTCAGTTCATGCGAGGATGTTACCATCAAACGGTGTGTTATGCGTTAAGAGGTTCAATAGTGTGCACACTTGTGGCGTTGCTGTACGCACTTACAGGAACCCGCGTACAGGGTCTGATTTGGTGTCAAATGTTGTTGCGGATCGAGTGCGTGATCAACCTTTGACACGCCCTACGGATGTGGTGTTCGATTTGAGAAACGAGTATGGATTGGAGATTAGTTACCGGGTGACATGGTTGGGTGTAGAGAAAGCGATGGGTGAAATGTATGGGGATCACGCTATGTCGTTCGACCAACTCAGGTGGTACAGCGATTATGTTATGGAAAAAAACCCAAACAGTTACATTAACCTTGACTTCGAACAGAATACCGGGCGGTTTGTTAGGTATTTCATTTCATTCCGTGCGTATATAGATGGATTCAAGCATTGTCGACCTTTGTTGTTTTTGGATGGAACGTTTTTGAAAGGCAGGTTCAAAGGTAATATGCTTGCCGCTACTGCGAAAGACGGCAATCAAGGTAATTTCATGGTATCGACATGTTTCAAAAATAAAATTACGAAAAATAAATTTACCCACACCATTTTTTTCTTTAATCAGGTTGGCATGGAATTGACACCAATATTGGTATTGGGAAACATATTCACATGGTCATTCACTGTTTTTTAAAATTTGTAATATATGACATTACACATACTAGAACCGTTAACTGTTATATGACATTAGACATTTGCACAACTTTTTATTGATATGTAACTTCCCTGCCAACAACATTTGAACGTGGGGGTTTCATGTGTTTCATGCTTTGGATGTAGGATTATTCCCTGTGGTGTTTGCGGTGGTAATTCTGAAAATGCAGCCAATTGGGAATGGTTTCTTTGGAATTTGAAACAAGTTATTGGTGGAGACCGTACTCTGACGTTCATATCTGACTGTCACGCTGGCTTATTGCAGTCTATGTTAAACATATTCCCGTCAACACATCACGTAAATTGTTTGTTGCATCTCCAAATGAATTTACGAGACCATATGAAATATGTTAATGCGACCCACAAAATTGGGTTGATGTGCAAATTGAGGGAATGTGCCTACGCGCCCACTGTTGATTGTTTCACTGAGAAAATGGATGTTTTGAAAAAGTGTAGCCCGGTTGTGATTGAAGGTTTTATGAAAGACTTGGACCCCAAACATTGGGCTAACGCGTATTTCAAGTAATATACATTTTCGTTTAATGGGTTACAATAGTGCACCGTTGCTTTTTTGGATTTATGTTTTCGTGCTTGGCATGTTTACCCATCGGTTCCGTTTATTTTCCAGGAGGCAACGGTATGGTGAAATATGTTCAAACGCTGCCGAGTCCTTCAGTAATTGGGTCAGTGAGGTGCGCCATCTTCCTATTACTCGCCTAGTATATATGATACGGGTTTAAATAATGGAGCAAATGGCAGGCTGTAGAGTTAAAAGCACGACATAGGCCGGCATATTATGCCCAAAAATGGAGAAGAAGTTGGTGGCGGCATATAACGATAGCAGGCCGTGGTGTGTTAGTCAGGCTAATGATGATGTGTACGAGGTTCACTCCCACCCGTCGGTGTTGGTTGATATGGCTACACGGAAGTGTTCTTGTTTTCAGTGGCAGATAAATGGGTTCCTGTGTGTCACGATCCAAACCCACCCCTATAGGTTTAGTACCGTAACCGGCCAGTAATCCGTGGATTGCCAAAGGCCTCTGAACAGATTAGCAAATAATAAGGGGCTGCGGAAGCAATAATACAAAACAGACAAGGTCCAATGAGTTGTGATAACATACATGGGACAGAACATTTCAAAACTTATTTATATATACATAAACATGCCAGTCAAAGGACACCACTATTTACAAAGTATTTACAGAAGTACACATCTCAAGACCTGACTTTACAGGACAGTCACAGAGACTAGCATGAATACAAAAACAACCATATAACGAGACTTCGATCGGAACCTCCTCGGGAGGCACAATGGTTAGCTGACAAAAACAGGACAGAAGGCCGTCAACTCTGGCCCTGATCACCCGCCGGCTCACCTACATACATAATATAAACTGTGAGCGGAAGCCTAGTGAATAATAACAGAGTAAAGGGGTTTTATGAATGATGTCCAGCACAAGTTAGGATCTAGTATTTAAATCAGAACATATTCAGACTTCAAAACAGAAATAGATTTAGATACACACTCATGTTCATATTCAGATTTCGTATAAGATCATACGTGGTACACCCATTAGCTATCAGATCAATTTGGTCTAGAGACCCACATGCATAGTTGGTACCAACGACCATAAAGGTCCATATCTTGCGCGCAAGTAGCCATGGTATTGTTACCCCCAGGCAAGGGCCACGTGCAAATTGGCCACAGTATTGTTACCCCTGGGCGAGGGCCACGTGCAGATTGGCCGCGGTATTGTTACCCCCGGGCGAGGGCCACGTGAACTAAGGGTGTCACAAATACTTTTCAGAAAATTGGACATTCATTCATAACTCGTAAGATAGCATTTTAGAAAACAGATCATACTATACCAGTCAAAAAATACTTAAGTAACATAACTTTACAGAGTTATTACTCACAGTGGACCTTGAGACAAACAGACGGAGCAGGTTAGTCAGACAGGACGCGGCACGTGACCTACACAACACATAACAGATGCACACCTGAAACACATGTTCTAATTGTACAAAACTTATTTCGTTGGCTCTTAGTGTGTTTATAATCTCTCATCCTCATTATGGGGTCTTAGACAAGGCCTAGGAATGCCTAGGATGGAATGAGGATGTAAGAATGCATTGAAAACCATTTCTCAAATTTTGCTGAAGATAAGGTCTACGCTCGAGCGTGGCTTTCCCCGCTCGAGCGGACTTGCAGATAAAGAAGCTCCGCTCGAGCGTGGACTTTCCCGCTCGAGCGAACTACAAACTCATAAAAAAGTGTTGGATGCATGAAATTCACGCTCGACGGGCGCTCGACCCCCGCTCGAGCGTGTGACACAGACCCTCGCTCGAGCGTGGCTTCCCCCGCTCGAGCGGACTGTAAAACACACAAACTTTTGGGTATACACATTTCAAGCTCGAGCGTGACTCTTACCACTCGAGCGGAAGTGCATGTACTCGGGCTTCACGCTCGAGCATGAAAGTCCCCACTCGAGCGTGAGTCAAATTTCTGGAAAATCCAGATTGACCTCCAAGCATGAAACTCAACCTTTAAGCCTTCAAAACTCATTTTTCTGGGCCAAAACTTTGAAAAACCCTTGGTAACACATAAAACAACATGTTTAAAGCTTCAATTCAAGAAATTATGGCCCAAGAATAACCCAATTATGCACAAACTCAACTTACTCTTTATAAAAGATCCAAAACATGGAATGCACGAACATTTTTGAGCTAAAGCTCTCCAAAACATAACCGAACTTGATAATTTGATGGAAAGCAAGATGAATGACCAAAATGTAGGTGAAGTTAGCACATGCGTGGAAGAAACCTTTGAAATCATGCTCAATTTGCAAGAAAATATACATGCATGCATGGTATGGCCCATTTCTAGTACAATTCCCATATGAATTCACTTAGTTCACTAGTGATCTTGTTGAATCTAACTCAATTACTCAAAGGAGAGTTTAGTTTCTTACCTAGAAGCTCCAATCTACAAAATTAAGGGTGAGGCTCTACAAATCTTCTTCAATTGTTAACAACCCTTAGCACCTCCTTGAATTTGAGCTAAATCTCTAAATCTTGGACCAATTCTTCTACTCTCACATTTTTGGGTCTAAGAGGACTCAAGAGTGTACGTAAAATGAAGAAGGGAGTGAGTGGGAGGGTGTTATTGTGCTCAAAAGGGTCATTAAGGCTCTAATTAGGCCATTAAACAAAATGTGCTTAGTAAGGTTGATTAGTGGCATTAATTTAATCAAATTTAATCGTTCCAAACTGAATTTTAATTAAACCTACCATAAAATTCTATGAATCCTAACTAGCACATATATCAAGTCAATTTCGAAATTGGGCGCCGATAAGGCTTTCAATTCGCAATTCAAAACTAAAACATGAACAGATATTTCTACGCCTAATAGATATAAACACAAAAACCATGCAATACTCATGCAAATTAGTTCCAAATCCTTCCTAAATTGTTGTTAGGCTTAACTAATCATGGATTAGCATTAATCGGAGGTCGGGGTTATTACACCGTGTTCCCACGCAGTCGTGGCATTCCGTAATAACAGGAGGAGCATTTAAGATTCCATGGATCATGCATTCCACATTGAAACGTACAGGTCTTCATACAGTGGAACAATATATCTTATCCCAATAGTGGACAAGCCGACTGGTACCCCAGCTGAATATATGATAGCTCCGCCGACAGTGAAGCGTCCTCCGGGTAGGCCCAAACGGAAGAGGATTCCATCAAAAGATGAGATAGTTCAACGTATCCATTGTGGTCGTTGTGGAAAATTAGGTAACCACAATAGGAAGACATGCAAAGAACCGATGTAGGGAGATCGATATGCTGTGTGATTAAATATTTTCCACAACGGGACTTTTTTTTGGACAGTCGCATTTTGTTTGTTTTTAAGTTTTGTTAAGTGTTTTAAATTTGCATACCATTTTACTGTTTCACAATTTTAATAAGTGTGCTACTCCAATCTGATGCCTAACATGGTGTTGTTTAACATTGACGCTGGGTTTTTGTACCGTCAAGTGGTGTGTTACATTTTCTTTTATGTTCTATGTGTCCACATCGTACAAAACATTAACCCAAAACCCACTACTTCAAGTGATATGTTTTACAGACATTTCAATCACAATGAATAACTAAACAATTCCAGGGTTATTACATGAAGTTAAAAACATGTACGGTTCCAAGCCAATAGGGACGACATAATGTGGGATAACCATGTTGTCTCTATGTCAACAATGCTATTTACATGCAGCATTAACAATTACTTACAGCTCAATCCATGGTCTTTTATTCACATTAAATATACTCACAGATCAATACTCAACCAACACGCTGCCTTCACAGTATTTTACCATTTAGTGTCCAATTTCATGCTGCCTACAAATCACGGAAACATACCAACATTGTTCACATGGCAATTTAATGGGTAAACAATCCACCAAAAAATGGAATGAGTAATCTGTCATTCTCAGTTGGGGGGGTGTAACATACAATCAATTTGACCCAAATGTTCAATATTCAACCAATCGAATACCATAAAACGGTTGTAACGACCCATATTACAGAAACTATAATGTTTAAATCATTAACAAAACTAATATCCCTGGTCAAAAACCATTAATCCCACGTAGAATGCAAATCAAGTATCATACGATAATTAACCAAAAACATATGCGAACATCACATTACACATTCGCACATGGAACAATATTTTTAAACTCCCTACTTCAAAACAAATCCGCCATTTTAAGAGGGGTTGTTCCTACTGGTACTGTGTTTGATGAACACATCTTGTAGACTCCTCGCACAAAGTCCTTTTTTCGGGTTAGTCAAAAATATTTCCATCATCGAAGCGCGTATACCAGTCCAAGTAAGACCATCCATCGTGTTGTCGACATCTACCCCGCGAACGTACTGCCTGATAATGAAGCATACAAAAATCCTACAATCTAACCTGCATTCATAGATGTTTTAAATGAACTGACGCCGTACAAATTCATAGTAACGCATACAACGAAAAAGAGACAGCACTTACGACTCCGGATCTTGTTGCGGGCAATCCATAACAGATGCAAGTGTGCCACTTAAATCGTCCGATTGAACATCATTAGCAGCAACTCATGGCTTCACAAATTTCTCATGATGGTCTGCTATCCATTGTTTCTGTTTATCGGACAA